ACTCTTTCTACAGCCTTTCTGCTGCTACTCCTTGACCCCTTTTCAATACTGTCTTTCAGCCACATCCCTGATCTTATGATAGGAAAAATCTAGAGCAGGCCTCGGCCGCCACACGGGCCAGGCAAAATTCAAAATTTCCTATCAACTGAAAATATTTAATATTATCCATTATGACCCTACGCAATTGTGAGCGCCGTAAAAATACTTACACAATTATTTTTTTAAAATACTACCAATAGTAGTAATAAACCAAGTGCAACAACTATAACAACAACTTACAGCAGTTATTATTTGTTATCTCTTCCACAGATCAGCCTACAAACCACCGACTACTTTTACCATACCCTGCACCAAATCTCTCCGCCTCTGATACAGTGTGCAGTGATTTCAAGACAGTTTCACATATCACATGATCATCAATATTATCATGTGATTGCCTTCTGACAACTTCGACTGGAGATAAAAAGCTGGCTGTCATGTGATAACTGCCTCAACCACCCAGACCTAGACCCGCATAAGCAGCAGCAACATCATCATCATAATTAGCAGCAACAGTACAAAGCAGCAGTAGCAGCAGCAGCAGCAGCTAATCCGGGTTGCTCTCAACTGACCCAAGTGTTGTAAAGCGAGGCTATATCTTGCGTTTGTACGAGCTACTTCTATCATTTCCATCTCGGGCGACTGTTACAATCAGACGGGACAGTGATACCAGGTGAGATCTTCCTTACCCTTGGGGTCTGATAGACGATAACATGGCGATATGGACGCCCTCTTTAGGTTTGATCGTTTATTTTGGACGAGAGAGAGAGAGAGAGAGAGAACGTAATCTTTAGTTTTTAGCTTATGTGTTATATAGAGTTTTACGGCACTTGCTACAGAAATAGGTTATATAAGTCCCGAAGATTAGAGGTGTTACTAGTGAGTATTATACAAAGAAAAGATAGAAAAAAGATAAAGACGATAGAAGTTTGGTGGGAAAGAGGGAGTAAACCATACTACTAGAGCGCCCATCAACCGCCCACTTGTAATCTTTATGCCGATGTCACTGTTCAAAATGGCGAGCAATAATTATCTGACCTTGTTGTTTTGTCTTATACCTTGTGAATGATGGTATTGCTCTATATTGATTGGTTTTCGAAACTTGTTAGAAATGATTTAACTGGTGTTTCTGAACATTATTATGGCCGTTGATTACTGTTGGTCATTTGGAGTTGACCATACTATTGCTCATGTATCGGTTTAGGGATTAGTGTTAAATGTCCTTCTATTACCGTTTAATTTAATTTATTTTCGTTGGTTCTTAGCGCCCTTCTATACGACGAATACATGTGTATTAAAAACTTGTTATTATAAGTCAGGACGGACCCTTCTAGATTGTATATTTTGTTATTTCAAAGGACAAGGAGTGAATTCGCTATCCTACAATTACTACCTTATCAGCGCCTAGTTTTTAGAAATTTGATATAAAAAACCCGTCCATGTCAAAACATGTCAAGCTTTTTCGAATGCCGTTCTTTGAACATCTTGATGACTACCCCGAATAATCTATGACTTTGATAGAGCAGAAAAAACATTTGGATTTTGATTTTATTATCGTAGTAACTCAAAACAGCAAAAAATGGCTGATGAAACTTTGTAATTCTAAGGCAACGAGTTATCAGGAGTTTCACTCAGATTGGAAGCTCGGAGTGGTAGGTGACCGCCACCACTGCTAGAACTGCTAACGTGATCAGTCCCGGGAGCGTTTTTTTGTTTTGGACTTTGATGTCGTGACTCGAGATAGACGATTATGGATTCATTGCGTCATCGACCTTATTAGTACGTTTTTGGAGGTGGGCTGTTCAACTTTACCTGTCAGGTTAACCTGAGATTGAAAAAGTAAAAAAACAAAACAACAAAGAATCCCTAAAGAAAAAAAAATAGACTCTATAAAATAGACTCTATAAAATAGACTTCCTAACCCAGGAATCAAACTCACGTTGTGGCGGGAAACGCCAAAAAAACCCACCCCACAACAAACAAACAAAAAACTAATCATTTCAATTAATACGCCAATCCGGTTTGTAGAATTGCAAGACTTTATTCGTTTGACGATCCCTGAAAATCTGTAAGGTATTTAAGGGGCGGGACCTCCGAATTTGACGTCCATCTCTAATGGAATCAAACTCAATGGGGGAAAAAATGCGTGTACCCACAATCTCACGATCGAGAGTCTGGTAGTCTCACACCAGGCTACCGACGTCACCTTCGGTATGTGATGAATGCGAAAGAATTAAGGAATGAAAGAAAGAAAGAAAGAATGAATAAAAACATTAAAAGGCCCAGGTGGTTTCGTCCTCATTCAGAAACCAGAAAACCACCTGCTATTATTGATTAGCCGCGGTCAACTATGTAGTTAGGCTGCTTTCACTTTGCCCGTCAATCGAAGTCTAAGGAGAACCGATTAGGCCATTCGCTATAGTGTGCAGTTACCTACGTTCGATTCCTGATTGAAAATGATTTTTATCGAGTACATGCACATGTATCTTGAAGTGGTTGCAGGAAAGTGGTATTTGTCTTAGCCTGGGTCAAAACCCGCAACTTAGATAATGTAAATTATGTCGACAGAGGCATGAAACACCTACTTAACTTCGAAATTATTTTGAACGCTTTACTTATGTATGTTTCATTGATTTATAGTTTTTTTTCTCCCTTTTTATTTCAGATCATATCGATCTCCGAAACTAAACTTTGTCGGACACAGACAATTTTTTTGGGTTACAACCAAAAATTAATTACCTAAAAATTTCCGAATTCACCTAATAAAATCAACTAATCGGAATGTATCAAAACGGTGGCACGCACCATTCTCTGACGTCACTGTCAGCCACGCCCACTGGCCTGAACATGGGCCCGCCCAGTTCCTCCAGCTCCTCCCCCTATACGCACGCGTCCACAGACAACCTGAGCGCCAGCTTCATGCCCGCTGGTCCAGTCTACGTCCCGCCCAGCCGCCCACCTCAGACAGGACACATGCCTCCTCACATGTCACCTTACGGCAACGGGGCGGGGCAAGCTACGGCCACGCCCACCCTCACCGGCACGCCCACTGGCTCCACCTCTATGTGGCAGACAGACAATCTGGGGATGCCTTACTCTTCTCAATCGGCCAGCTCCCGTTTCGGTTTCTCGCCGTCTCAAAGTGGACAGATTATGTCTCCGACTGATGCTGCTGCAGTAGCCGCCTACGCCAGGGGCCCTTTACCCAGGACCTCAGCCCTGGGGCACTACACGCCCTACATGGGCGATTTTAACGCCTGGAGCAATTTCAGTAACATGGCTCTGCAGGGATTCCGCCAGACTGTGGATCATGGTGAGTGATGTGACCTGTGAGGTTTTTTGTTTTGTGTTGTAATTTTGTGTGTGGGGGGAGGGGGTGGAGGGGTGAGGTGGGAGGGGCGAGGTTATACGCAAGTATGTGAGCCTTTCTTTGTGTATGTGTGTGGGGGAGGAGTCTATCATTCACCATGTGCAAATAG